GCGCACTAAGCATAATCTAGGCTATATTAGCATAAACTAGCCTAGATTACGCTTAGCGCGCAAAGAATTAGCTATATTAGCTATAAATGCTATCTAAAGAGAAAATTCTTGCACATATAGCTTAAGTATAGTCTTAATAATTACCTACTTTTTCCTATTACCTAGCCTTTGTAAGTTAGCTATAGAATTAGCTTATAAAAGTTATCTAGCGCTATAGTTATTTATTATTTTTTAAGAGACTTTATACATAGCTATAGCATAGTTCTTTAAGAGTTTTATGTCTTATTTAAAAGCTTAAAGCATAAGCTGTATCTAACATTCTTTTAGCGCGTCTAAGTAGTGTTGTTAGAAATGCATTAGTATAGAAAGAGTAGTTTAGTAGGGTCTTAGCAAAAGTAAGCAACTTAGGTGTGTAAGCAACTCGCCTGTGAAGTACATTATAGGCATTTATAAGTAATTAAGGCCTCTAAACAACCTTAGACTATAATAATAATAGACTTTATTATAAGACTTTCTTTTTTCTAAGAACTAAGCATAAAAAAGCTTTACAATATAATAACAGTTACACTTAATAAAATAACTAAGTTCCTACACATATAGCCTTTTAAAAAGATAATAACAGCTAAGAAATTTATATATAAATTAGAATAAAATATAATATTAGTTTATAAATGCCTACTTATTATAATATTTAACTAAGATAAACTGTTTACAAGTAATTTCTAGAAAGCTACTACTAGACAGCTAGGCATAGAACATAGACTGTCCACCACCTACTATCCCTAGACAGATGGCTAGACTAAACAAGTAAACACAGAAGTTAAGAAGTACCTAAGAAAATACATATCCTATAACTAAGTAAATTAGGCAGAGTAGCTTCTAATAGCATAGTTAGCTATTAACATAGTAGAGTTATCTATAATAAAAAAGACACTGTACTAGGCTAACTTTAGCTATCACCTATACTTTTTACTTTACAACATATAACTAACAGATTCTCTAGAATTAGTTTTACGCATAAAATAGCTGTAAAAACTACACTAGCAGTTAGTAAAAAAGAGCATAAAATAGTTAAAAAAGAATAAAGTAATTAAAGAATAAGTTATAAATAAAGGCTTCTATTGTTTACTTTAAAAACTATATATGCCTTAAAATAAAAAACTTTTACACACCTTAAGTAGAATATAAAGTAAAATAAATAGTTAACATAAAAAAAGTAAAAGTTTTTAGTAAATTAAAAAAGATAGCCTACTAGTAAGAATATATAAAAACTTATTAAAAATCTAATAAACGCTCTATAACTTTTTTAGAAGTACTAGGAAACACACCTAACTAGAACTACCTAGAAGAAAGCCCTCTAGACTAGGAAGGCTCCCGAGCAACACTATTAGATAGCTGTAATGTAGGAAGTTAACAATTCTATAACATAGGCTAAAAAGAGAGTAAACTATAAGCTTTTACCTTTAGTGCTTTAATCTTATCTAAGAATAAATTTTTTTTTAATACTTTACTCTTTAATTCTCTAGAAGATCTAACTATTTCTATAATTAAAACTTCTATGCACGCATTAATTAAAGCTGCTTTAGAGCCTTTACTGCCTAATTAAGAGCTTCTTTTACCTTTTTTTTTAATGTTTAAGAAGCGCTTTTTACTAAGCGCGCGTATTTTTTATCTTATAAAATAACTGCTTCTACTTCTTTTCTAAACACTCTTAGGCAGCATTAGAAATAAAGACATTATAGTAACTTCTTTTTTAAACACACTTACACACTTATCTAATAACAAGGTTAACACGTAGAAAGAACTTAAAAAATTGTAAGAACTACATAAACACATCTTTATATAATAGAAAAGATTAAAGTAAGCAGCAGCATAGTAACAATAAGCGTAGGTAGACTAATAAGGCATTATTAGGACTAAAGAAGTTAGACATTAAAAAAGCGTTTATAAATAGGCACTTCCTAAGTATTAAAAAACTTTTAACACTTGCAAAAGAGTAAGCAGAACAGTAAGAACGCTAATAGAAGAGGCCTACATGTTATAACCTACAATTAGGCTGTAAGATACTACCTAAGAATGCCCTACTATTTAGATAAACAAGGATAGAGCCCTTGGATCACTCTACTAGAGAAGGAGTCACGTAACCTAACAGACAAAGAATGGATAATCATGACAGGCTAGCTAGCAGGCAAGTGCAGCGTCTAATAAATAGCTACTAAGCGAGTGCAGGTAAGCGTAAGTACACGCAAGTAATTGCAGGCAGCTACCTGCAATTACTTGCAATTACCTCTAGAACTTTATGTATATAGTTAAGGTAATAGACTATATAGAGGGGGTATAATTAACACTTTAGTTTATTTATTACATAGACTTAGTAGCATTACTGCTTTATAATAAGCTAATACTATTTATATATTTTATAACATATATACCTCTAATCTTGTTCTAGGACTGTTTAACCTAAGCACCTTATACTGCTGTTAAAGGGCAAACTACAGTTAGCTAACCCCCTCCTCTACCTAAGTTCGCACAGACTATACACCCGCTGCTAACCTCGCCCTCTCTACTAATCCTATTCTTATCCAAGGTCTAGTGCACTGCTGCAATAACCTAGCAGTAGAGACTGTAACAAGTAGGCAGTAAAGAGCTTAATTTTTACACTTAAAATTTAATAAAATTTAAACTAGAAACTAGATATAAACTAAAATCTCTAGTTAAAGATAATAGTTTTAAGTGTGTAGCTAAAATAGTACACTTATTAAATAAATAAAGTAGCTATTCTTTAAGCGTTAATTATTTTATAGTAAAGAATAAAAATAGCTTGTTTAGACATATAATTAATTATAACTATAATCTAGTTATATCTTAACCTATTTTTAAAAAAATCTTTAAAGTTAGTAACGTACTTTACAGGCAAGTTGCTTATACACCTAAGTTGCTTACTTTTACTAAGACTCTACTAAACTACTTTTTTTACACTAATGTATTCCTAACAACACTACTTAGACATGCTAAAAAAAATGTTAGATATAGCTTATACTCTAAGCTTTTAAATAAGACATAAAACTCTTAAAGAAACATGCTACAGCTATGTGTAAAGTTTTATAAAAGATAATAAATAACTACGGCACTAAACAACCTTTATAAGCTAATTTTATAGCTAAATTATAGAGGCTAGGTAATAAAAAGAAGTAGGTAATTATTAAGACTATACTTAAGCTATATACGTAAAGAATTTTCCCTTAAATAGCATTTATAGCTAATATAGCTAATTCTTTACACGCTAAGCATAATCTAGGCTATATTTACATAAACTAGCCTAGTATGTTTATAAAGTGTTATTTAAAGCTTAAAGTAAAGTTTTAAGTGTAAGTATAGTTAAAAAATATTTAGCTAATTATAAAGCTTATTTTACTAAAGTTATATGTGTTATTATTCTAGATGCTATACTTAGCTTTAATATTTTTTATAAGGCTAAACTTACTTTAAATTACTTTAAGACTTTTATAAAAAGCTTTCTTATAGTTATACTTACACTTAAATGTTACTTTAAGCTCTAAATAATGCTGTATAAACTTATAAAGCTAGTATATGCTAATATAGCCTAGATTATACTTAGTGCGCAAAAAATTAGCTATATTAGCTATAAATGCTATTTAAAAGGAAATTTCTTACGCATATAGCTTAAGTATAGTCTTAATAATTACCTACTTTTTTTTATTACTTAGCTTTTATAATTTAGCTGTAGAATTAGCTTATAAAGGTTACCTAGTGCTGTAGTTATTTATTATTTTTTATAAAACTTTATATATAGCTATAGCATGTTTCTTTAAGAGTTTTATGTCTTATTTAAAAGCTTAGAGTGTAAGCTATATCTAATATTCTTTTAGCGCGTCTAAGTAGTGTTGTTAAGAATGCATTAGTGTAAGAAAAGTAGTTTAGTAAAGTCTTAGCAAAAGTAAGCAACTTAGGTGTGTAAGCAACTTGCTTGTAAAGTACATTACCTTGTTTTTAAAATAAATTAAGATATTATTTAAATAAGTAATGTAGAAATTGTCTAGGTAGTTAATTAATATGTTGTTTATATAGCGCTAGTAAGTTACTAGGCTATTGTATAATCTAAAAAGCAGGACTTTAAATTTACATATTCTATATTATGTTTAAAAGGTGGTATACTTTTTAAAGCTTAGGTCTATCCTAATCTTAGCTTGCAATCTGTGATGTGACTCTGTGTCACGTGACCTTATTATGTCCTTTAGGAAATACTTAGCGCTTACTTTGCTAATAGTGTTGCACTTTCTTAGCCAGCTATACATATCCTAACAGGTGTGTAAGTAACTCTTCTATGGTGTACTCTAGCGTGTTATAAGAAAAGTGTTACATTTTATTTAATAGCTTAAAGTACAAGCTATAATCTAGCTTCTTTATGAAGTCTAATCTTATGTTGTTGTTAAAACATTGTGTTGTATTATAGATAAGTGTATAATTGTAGTAGGGTCTTAGTAGAGTAGCTAATTCGTTTGTGTAGCTAACTCGCTAGTGAGGTACCTTAACTTAAACGCTAATAGAGGCTAAAATAAAGATGCATAGTATTATAGAAGTGACAATAAGAGATAAACGCTGTAATAACCCTCTGCAAGCACTTCCTGTCCTATCTCGTGGCGATCGTTGACTCACCGAATTCTAGCTTAGCCAAAAGGCGGGGGTTGGCCGCTTCAGACTTCCTGCTTCGTATTAGTCAATGCCCACTGCACACAGTTTTTGATACCAATCACCCGCCGAGCCGCACCATGATAAAAAGGGCTGCTACTCTTTGTTATCGTCCTGCGGTTTTCCTTCTTATCAGCCCTTCTTTCCTCAAACTTTTCTTATACCAATTTGCCATTTCGCAGTCTCCTGTTGGTGTGCAATCAACCCCGCGAACAATGGCGGCGCCCCACGATCAGTCACCGATGCAAGCGAATACTTCGAGTGGGATTGGAGCAGGGCTCAGAGCGCAAATGGAATCCTTATCATCGTCGCCTCATATTGCGCAGGAATCAATTGCTCAAGATTTATTAGAGGATGGTTGTGAAGAAGAGCAGAGTTCGAGCTCGAGCTCTGAGGACAACGATTCAGATGGCTCGACTATTCGCCCACAATATGCCATGATTCATGGCCGTCGACAAAGCTATGTGAACCCAGGGGCCCGATCAACGTCGATTTTTTCGACCTCGCTCCCTGAACGCGGCTACCTGTCGAAGAGAGAGAAAGCCTTGGTGCGAGAGGAGGAGCGGAGTTTACTCCGCGACAACCATATTCTACCTCCAAAGCACCCCCGTCAACGTCGTGGAAGTGAAGGTCTGTTGTCTAGCCGCCTGGGAAAGAAGCTTTCGCTATCAGCATTACGCAAGGTTCGAAGTGCCATGGACGAAGAGGCCGCAATCGACATAGATGAGCCTTCAGAAGCGACTGCACTTCTCCAAGGAGATTGTACTCTTCCATATGGAGGTCTCGATACACCCAAGACCATCAACAGAACTTGGGATGAAGCTGTTGTTGCGGGCAAGATACATACAACATGGCAACGAGAAACAAAATTTCTAACGAAAACTTCCGCACCACTGATCCTGACATTCTTGCTACAATACTCACTCCCTGTTGCTAGCGTTTTCACAGTTGGACACATTGGAAAAGTCGAGTTGGGTGCCGTGAGCCTCGCGAGCAGTAAGTTAATCTTGAGTACTATTTGTTTTGGCTACTAGCCAACGATTCTTTTAGTGACTGCTTCCATTACCGGATACGCAGTGTATCAAGGCCTGGCCACCTCTCTTGATACCTTATGCGCTCAGGCGTACGGTTCTGGTCGCCCCCATCTCGTTGGTCTTCAACTCCAGCGCATGCTTTACTTCCTCTGGCTGATCACGATTCCTATCGCTCTTGTCTGGGGTTTCGGTACCCAAATCCTCTCTGCCGTCGTCCCAGAGAAAGAAACAGCCAAACTAGCCGGACTGTACCTAAAAGTTCTCATTGCAGGTGCACCCGGCTACGCTGCTTTCGAATCCGGAAAAAGATTTATGCAAGCACAAGGTCTCTTCAGCCCCACCATGTACGTGTTAATCATTTGCGCTCCGCTGAATGCTCTCATGAATTACTTATTCGTCTGGGTCTTCAAATGGGGCTTCATAGGCGCGCCGATCGCCGTCTCAGTGACCGAAAACATACTCCCACTACTCCTATTCCTCTATGTGCGCTTTGTTGACGGCTACAAATGCTGGGGAGGCTTCGAACGCCGAGCTCTCGCGAACTGGGGTCCAATGGTTAAGCTCGCCCTACCCGGTCTAGTAATGGTTCTTGCGGAATTCCTTGCCTTCGAGATCCTCACCCTGAGCGCAAGCTGGCTGGGCACAACTCCTCTGGCTGCTCAATCCGTGCTCTCAACTATCGCCGCGATTACATTCCAAATCCCGTTCCCAATGAGCGTCGCGGCGTCCACAAGAATTGCTAATTACATCGGGGCGACCCTCTCCATACCTGCAAAGGCCGCAGCAAAAGTTGCAATGATCTTCGCCGTCGGGGTCGGAATTTTCAACTTCCTGCTTCTCTCCCTTCTGAGAACTTACATCCCTCGTCTCTTCACCCCGGATCCAGATGTCATCGAATTGGTCGCAAATCTACTCCCACTGTGTGCAGCGTTTCAAGTGTTTGATGCTCTGGCCTGCAATTGCAACGGGATTCTGAGAGGCCTTGGCAGGCAAGAAATTGGCGGATATGTGGGGCTTTTTGCGTATTATGTGGTCGGGTTGCCTATCAGCTTTGGTACGGGTTTTGGGTTGCATTGGGGACTGTATGGGCTTTGGAGTGTAAGTCATCCTGAATACCAGGGTCGGATTAGGTCTAATATAGCATTAGGGTCCTGCCATTGCGTTGGGTATTGTGGCTACCATTGAGGGCGTATTTATTTACAAGACTCGGTGGGAGAAAGCTGTTGAAGATGCGGTAAAGAGAAACACGATGGCCTAATTTGAAGATCAACAATGCACTTCGAAATTTTATGATACATAACTGGAAAAGGGAGGGCGTTCTCGATTGGAGTTTTTCACATTTTAATCTCGGAGTTGGCATGGGCTCCGAGGAGGAAGCAAGCGTGTAATGAGTACTCCGATAGACTTGATACCCCAGATATCTGTCATCGAGTTTCTGAAAAGTCCCATCCGCTGCATCTCTCGGTTTCTCGTCCTCATCGTGTTACACCCAACGACCTTTCCCTAAACTGCTGAATCCATCATCAACCATCTCAACTCATCTACACTCACCCAACTCTTAATTCCGGAAGTTAAATCCCCACCTCTACGCAAACTCGGTCGCCCCAATCGCCACCAAAGCAGCGGCTCCTAATACACAAATTCAAAACTCTCCTCTTGCCCTCATCAACCATATCCTCTAACAAATATGCAATTACACTCGAATACTCTTCATTCTGCGTATTCTCCCTGAGCAAATATCTTTCTTGCTTGCCCATGGGGTGGTCTTTAATTCTTCATTAAGTTTGATCAGCAACCGCTTGAAATATTCATCACCATACTCTGGCGACGAGGACTTTTTCCGGTATACTCGAACGACCGAGGGAGCAGTCGATAGAATCCTAGCGCAGGTAATTTTTACTTGAGAGTATGTACGACGGGCTCATATCGCGTTGTATGAGTTGCAGGAAATCCTTAGTCCAGACAACAGAGATGACGGTTCCCCTAGCATCGTAGACATATCCTTCCGACACTCGGTGGTATCTTGTAGTCGTGAAACAGGCCCAATCCCGTATCCGCGAATGCTACATACTGTTCCATCGACACCGTGCACCAGGGACAAACAACTTATCACGGGAAGACGCTTGTTGCTTCTCGCGCCGCAAGTGCTCATTAAATAGCATGATCCCGAGGGCCCCCACTTTAAGTGTCGCTAGGAGTCTAAATTTCTTGTACAGGGGCGCAGCTTCTAGCGCGGTAGGAGAGGTTGAGGTCGAATCAATAGAGCATTTTCTAGATTCGGATACGGAAAGTGAGTAAAGAGAGAAATACTGCTAACGTACTTCATGGGCGAGTCGCTCACACACCCGAGTCGCTCACTTTTGCCAAGACCCCACCCCAACAAACTCTATTATGGCCCATAACAACCCGCTCTAGCACTATATAGTACAGTACAGCCTAGAATATTATTTAGATACTACTTCTACTTCTTGCTTACATGTTCGCGCGTTATGCCTAGTCTAATTGCACTGTCTGCAGCGCCTTTAGAATAGCTTACCTACTTTAGCTTACACCTACTTCTTTACCTTCTTTCTATTACTGTGTGCCCTAAACTTCTTTAAAGCTGTTAAGCGTAGGCCTTTCTAAATTATTAAGGTCTTTTTTACCTTAATTTACTTTCTTTTATGTAATTTATATTACATAGCAGCCTTATTAGCTGCTTAAAGCTTAGTAATTTTCTATTACACTAACACTAGCTTATGCATAATTATTGCTACTCTCTTTAAGACCTTTTTAAACACTTTAACTATAAAAGTTAGTAAACTATTTATATACTTTTAAATTTTTATCTTTATAAGCATTAATTATAACTTAAGTTTTAAAGTATTACTTAAGGTTTATAACTACTAGGGCTTATTATATATAAGTAGTAGTAGTAATAGAGTGCGTAACTTTATATTAAAGCCTATTATAACTTATTATAGGTTAAAAGAAACTAATCTAGCGCTTTAAAACCTTTCTTAGATATTACTAGAAGTAATTATAGTATTATAAGCTGCTTTAAAGCATAGTAAGAACTTTATTTTTATAATATAAGTAATCTAGTTGCGCATAAGGTTTTTAGCTTAGCACTTATACACTTTTTTAAAGAAGTAAAACAACTTACATTAAGTAGCTATAAAAAGTATAATAAGTAAAAAAGTATATAAATAGTAATAATCTTATTATTTTTATAGTATTACTAGAAATAAAGTAAGTTATAGCTTTTATAGCTATTAATAACTAGTAAACAGTAGCTACTAACAGTACACTTCTTTATATACACATTAAAGTGCTTTAACTAGTCTAGACTAAGCTAATTAGTAGTCTAGCTATGCTTAAAGATTATAATAACTTAATTTTAAAGTAGATTTTTTTTATACTAGTTTAAAAAGTAGTTGCTACCCTAGAAGATAATAAAAAGTAAAATAGCCTACTTTTTAGCATTAATGCCCTAGATAGCTGTTATCTACTTCTAGTTACCTAGCTAGACTGCTTTTAGCTGTTCTTATTTCTTTAAACTTATAACAACTACTTTAGTAGATATTTAGCCTATTATAAACTTTATTTTATTAAAGTTGTACATGTTATTATTCTAGATGCTATACTTAGCTTTAATATTTTTTATAAGGTTAAACTAGCTTTAAATTATTATAAAATTTTTATAAAAAGCTTTTTTATAGTTATACTTACACTTAAACTTTACTTTAAGCTTTAAGTAACACTTAATAAACATATTAAGCTAGTTTATACTAACATAGCCTATATTATACTTAGCGTGTAAAGAATTAGCTATATTAGCTATAGCTGCTAGCTAGAGAGGAAATCTTTACACATCTAGCTTAAGTATATGCTAAATAATTACCTACTTTTTATTATTATCTAGCTTTTATAAGTTAGCTATATAATTAGCTTAAAAAGGTTATCTAGCGTGTTAGTTACTTATTATCTTTTAAAAGACCTTATAAATAGCTGCAGCATGTTAGTTAGAAAGTGTTATATTTTATTTAAAAGCTTAAAGTGTAAGCTACATCTAACATTTCTTTAACATGTTTAAGTAGTGTTGTTAGAAATGCATTAGTGTAAAAAAAGTAGTGTAGTAGGGTCTTAGCAAAAGTAAGCAACTTAGGTGTGTGAGCAACTTGCCTATAAAGTACGTTATCTTACTATTGTTGATGCTTAATTTACAAGTCCTAGCCTGCTGGCGTCATCTTTTGACTGTGCCTCTTTATTCTTAAAACAACTACCAACACCGATCCGACAGGACGCATGAAGTTATTCTTTCATTTGTCAAGGTTTTGCCTCGATTTGCTAATCAGGGGATTCCCTTCTATTTACTTTTGTAAACGCAGTAGCCTCAACCCGTCACTCTTCTTGTAGACCTGTCATATAACCCCAAATTTAAAAATCTAGCAATAACTATGATGCTATCGTAGATCAGAGCGACATGCTGCATAACTGTAGACAGAAGTTAGTATGATAGCAGCTGTTTAGGTCCCCCGATGTCGCCGATAGGTAAGTAGGAACACACATCTACATTAGAAAGCCTGATATGGTACACTACGGCTAGGATTATCTTCAACACTAAAGCCTAACCACTAACCACTCACGGTCTTCCGCTAACCCTGTCATTCCCCAACAACGGCGTCTCCTCGCTCTCCCCTTCATACAATAATACCCCATTGCCATGCGCCTCCCCATTTCCAGGTCCAGGTCCAGCTTTCTTCGCCTTCCAGTCTCTCCATAAAAAGCACAAACTCATGACCAACAAACACCCCTGTAAACAACCTGTGAAAATAAACAGGCCCCAAGCGCTCCAACCACCAGGCCCCAGCCTCACAGCCAAACTCGCGGCAAATACAAAGCTACCGGGCGTCTGTATACACATCATTGGGACACTCAGACTGCGCACAGCCTGCAGTTCCCACGTCATTAATATTTGCGGGATGTATTGGACGCCTGCAAGGAGGGTGCCCAGGACACCGAGAAAGTTTGCCCAGCCACGGAGATGGGAGGATGCAGCGTAGACGAAGATGATGGACCCGAGGAAGGCGAAGATGAAGAAGGCGAGTGAGGCGGCAAGAACTATGATTGCTTCTTTCCACGTGGGCATATTGGCTTCTGCCTCTTCTTCGGGGAGGTTTCGGGGGAAGAAGATGAGAAAGAGCATCATGCTACGGCGTGTTAGCTTACATGCTAGATAGGGTACAAGTAGAGCCTCCTCTATAGAATATCATACATGAAGAAGAAACAAGTCCACTGGACGCCAATCTGCGCAATCCCAAGCAAAGCCGAAGCGCATGCAAAACGGCTGATCTCCTTACAGCACCCCATGTCCTGTGTGCTCTCCGGTAGCGTCAACATATTCGCGATGCTTGCTGTTCCCGAGACAGTCCCCAGGAGCACAAACATCGGGCTCAGTCCGCGAGAAGAGCGGCGGGAAATGATCTTATAATGTTGTGGGAGGTAGGACACGAGGATGCCGACGACAATGAAGCTGTGTCCGGCGGTTAGCGATGGGGAGCTGGCTTTGAGCTGGTTCGGGAACCGTGAAAACCTACACAGAGACGGAGAAGTCGAACAGATTAGGCTGAGAGAGCTCCCGACATCGGTCTGGATCAAGTGCAAGCATAGTTGTGTATTTAGTGTTGTGAACATGACGTGTGCTTGAGAGCTTAGTATTTAGAGGGAGGTTGGGGATGTGCCATGACACGCTAGTGCGCATCGGCAATTGTATGCGCAAAATCGGGGGATGCCAAGGTCGGCATTGCGCAATTCCCGGCCAAGCCAGTTTTGCCTGCCAAAAACCCTCCTGTATAGAATTTACCTATGCAGCTTCCTAAACTATTATCAACATTAATATAAAAAGTAAGGCTGTACAGCTCTAGCGTACCTCACAAGCGAGTTAGCAACTCTGCTAAGACTCTACTAACGTACACCACAGGCGAGTTGCTTACACACCTAAGTTGCTTACTTTACTAAAACCCTACTAAACTAGCTACATTATAGAGAGTTATAAATAAAGCATTACATAAGTACCTAGAGCTATTTATGTTAGTATACCTAGACAATGTACTAGTGTATATAAAAGGGATACTAAAAGACTCTATTACTAAGGTAAAAAAAGTCTTAGAAAAGCTAACGTACCTAACGGGTTGGCCGGCCACACAGGTTGGCCGGCCACTTTTGCTAAGCCCCTACTAAACTCTACCTATCTACATAATGCCTTAACAACAACACTAGATTAAATCTTCTAAAGAACGTTAAATACAGCTTACTTTTTAGGCTCTTAAATAAGACTTAAAACTCTTCTTACAACGCGCTGCAGCTATCTATAATGTCTTTTACACAACACTAAGTAATTAACGCGCTAGACAGCCTTTATAAGCAAAATGCTAGCCTAAATTAAGGAATTTAACTAAGCTAAAAAAAAAAGTAGTTATTAAGTATATACTTAAGCTTATTACACGCAGATTTCCCTTTAGGCTTGCAGCTATAGCTAATATAGCTAATTTCTTGCCTGCAGAGCGCAATCTAGGCTAGGTTAGCTTAAACTAGACTAGTATGTAGGTTAAGCACTGCTCTAAGTTTATAATAAAGTTTAATTATAAGTATAATTATAAAAAAGCGCTTTATAAAGATCTAGAGGTTATCTAGGGCTAGTTTTGCCTAGTAGCTAACATAAAAGCTAAGTACAGTATCTAGAATAAAGACAGGTATAACTTTAATAAGTTAGGCTTTATAATAAGCTAGATATTAACTAGAGCAGTTGTTACAGCTTTAAAGAGATAAAGACAGCTAAAAGTAATATAGTAAGGTAATAAAAAGTAGATAATAGTTATCTAGAGCATTAATATAATAAAGTAGGCTATAAGATTATAAAGCTTTAAGTAGTAAATAAAGCTACTATATAACATAGATTACATAAAAGAAAGCAAATTTAGGCAAAAAAGACTTTAATAGTTAAAAATAGAGCTTATCTAACTACTTTAAAAGAGTTTAGAGTGTGTAGTAATAAAAAGAAGCTAAAGACACAGGTGCGCGCTAAAGAAAGTAAGCTAAGTTAAAGGTAATGTAGGCAGTATAATTAGACTAGGCATAACTTACATATGTGTAAGTAAGTAGTAGAAGTAGACTCTAAATAATATCTTATATTATATTACTTTATATAGAGCTAAAGTGGGCTGTTTTACAAGAGAATAGGGTAGTTTTAGTGGGGGCTTGGCAAAAGTGGCCGGCCAACCTGTGTGGCCGGCCAACCTGTTAGGTACGTTATAAAAATATAGACTCTCTTTATAACTAAGTAAATAGAAATTTTATGTCTAAGAAATAAAATAACTAGAATTTATAGTTTTAAAAAAAGAATTTAAAATAGACTTAAAAAAGTATAATGTACTTTATAGGCAAGTTGCTTACACACCTAAGTTGCTTACTTTTACTAAGACCCTACTAAACTACTCTTTCTACACTAATGCATTCCCTATAACACTACTTAGACGCGCTAAAAGAACATTAGATACAGCTTACACTCTAAGCTTTTAAACAAGACATAAAACTTTTAAAGAAATATGCTATAGCTATGTATAAAGTTCTATAAAAGATAATAAATAACTACAGCGCTAGATAACTTTTATAAGCTAATTCTATAGCTAAATTATAAAGGCTAGGTAATAAAAAGAAGTAGGTAATTATTAAGACTATACTTAAGCTATATGCGCAAGAAATTTCCTCTTAGATAGCATTTATAGCTAATATAGCTAATTCTTTGCACACTAAGCGTAATCTAGGCTATGTTTATATAAACTAGCCTAGTACATTTATAAAGTGTTATTTAAAGCTTAAAGTAAAGTTTTAAGCATAAGTATAGTTAAAAGATATTTAGCTAATTATAAACTTTATCTTACTAAAGTTGTACATGTTATTATCCTAGATGCTATACTTAGCTTTAATATTCTCTATAAGGCTAAACTTGCTCTAAATTACCTTAGGACTCTTATAAAAGGCTCTCTTATAGTTATACTTACACTTAAACATTACTTTAAGCTCTAAATAACGCTTTATAAATGTACTAGGCTAGTTTATATAAATATAGCCTAGATTATGCTTAGTGCGCAAAGAATTAGCTATATTAGCTATAAATGCTATTTAAAGGGAAATTCCTTGCGCATATAGCTTAAGTATAGTTTTAACAATTACCTGCTTCTTTTTATTACCTAGCCTTTATAATTTAGCTGTAGAATTAGCTTATAAAAGTTATCTAGTGCTATAGTTATTTATTATCTTTTATAAAACTTTGCACATAGCTATAGCACATTTCTTTAAAAGTTTTATGTTTTATTTAAAAGCTTAAAGTATAAGCTGTATCTAACATTCTTTTAGCGTGTTTAAGTAGTGTTATAGAGAATACATTAGTGTAGAAAGAGTAGTTTAGTAGAGTCTTAGCAAAAGTAAGCAACTTAGGTGTGTAAGCAACTCGCCTGTAAAGTACGTTAGGCTATCTTAAAATAGCTAAAACTAAAAATAGTTACTAAAGTTAATGTACACTATAGACAAGTTGCTTACTGTTACAACCTACGATTAGACTGTAAACGATTACTTGGCAGTGCCCCACTGTTTAAACAACCAAGGATGGAAAGTCCTTAGCCCCCTGTTCGCCAGGTCACGTGTCCCGACGGACAAGGAATGGACTAAGCTACTAGACTAATGCGCGACAGAATGCGTCGTCTAATAAGGTAACAGATAGATGCATGCAAACCTTATATATATAGTTTTAAATTCTAACTTTATTTAAAAGCTATAATTAATAGTTAGTTTATTTTATATAAACTAAGTAGTATTATTACTTTTTAATAAGAATAATTTAATAGTATATTTTACACTATATATACCTCTCTTTCTGTTCTAACCTTAGAACTGTTTAACCTAAGCTTCTATACAGCTGTTGCAAGGCAAACTACAGTTAGCTACCCCTGCTAAACCTAGTAACTTAGTCCTACAGACTATACACCTGTACTAGGCTAAGTTCTCTTCCTCTTCCACCTCTCTAACATCCTTCTAGGCCCGCGCGTGCTTTAGACACTATTCCTCTAGAGTAAGGACTATAACATTAATTACTATCTCTAATAAAGTATAAACTCTTATAACACTACTACTAACTTTAAAATAACTAGTGCTTTATTAGCTAGCATAAGCAAAACCTTATTCTTTAATAAAGAAGTAATAAATTAATAATTAAACTATTTAAACAATAAAGTAGCATAGCTAAAGTAGCTATTAGCATAATAAGTAAAGTAAACACTAACTAGCATAAACTTACAAATTTAAGTGCTATAGCTAGAAGTGTTAATGTAAGGCTAGGATGGCGCTTACGTGTAAGGCCAAGATGGTGCTTACGTGCGACAGGTATATATACTATTCTGCACCTAAAAATTAACGTTAGTTAATTATTTGCACCTTTTAGTTGTATTAGCGTAGTAGTATAGAGCTTTGTCTTTACATAATAATTAACTAATAACAAGGACAGTTGCGCGTTTAACCTACACCTTAGACAGCTTTGCTAGTTTTTAGACTAAAATGTAAGGCAGCCTCTTCTAGCGCTATGTTGTTGCTGCTAGGAGGTCTAGTGTATATAGCTTAGCTAGCGTGGGCCACTAAGTGTTGCGTTGTGTTTATCCCGCGCCTCTGGGCCGTAGGTGGTCAGCCTCTGGCCGGTAACCGAGACATGCGCATAGGCGCCTCTGAGCTGCGGGTAGGTCATGTGACGCCTGGGACATGCGTCTGCTAAG